TGGCGAGCCTGTGGGCCCAACAAACATGGCATTCCCACCTCCCGGCCACTCGGGACCTACACACATAGGTGCCAAGTGGCTGGGGGCATGGTGGGCATCCCCAGGACCCTGCCCGCTTTGAACCTGTGGCCAGTGCACACTCAGGGCCAAGTGGCCAAGGTCCCAGTGATGCCACTGGAATGTCTGGTTCTGTCAGCCCAGCCTGGGGGCAGCTGGAGTTCTCAGTCCTTTTCATTTGTGCGGCTGCTGAACTGGAAGCAGGAATCAAGAGCATGGGGAGCACCAGGAATTCTGAAAATTATACTACACTTGATCTTAGCCAAAAGGCCGAGAAGAGATAATTCTGAGAATTATAGTTATGATGGCACCCCCTGGACCTGAAGCAGAAGCCCAGAGTGCAGGGAGCACCAGGAATGCTGGGAATCATAGTTCTGGTGGCAGACGTGTTGCAGGATCTCCTAGACACTGGAGCAAAGTGAGCCTGGAGCAAGTTACTGTTGTGGTGGGGGACGGAGGGAAAGCAAAGGTGAGAGACATAAATAAAGTTGCAGCGTTGAGGAAAAATTAAAGGGAAGCTATCCTGCAACTTCTAGGAAATCTCCATCAATAGAGCAAAGAAAAAAAAAAAAGACCTCTATTATTCTGTGAGCACCACAAACTGGGTTGGGGTCTCAGACAATTAGCTCATATGATTGCTAAGACAGACAGGATTGGAGAGGACTCCCTGAGGGCTCCCAGATTGGAGAGGGTGTAGATTGGACTAAGGGACCCACCCCCCATGTATGAATCTTCATGCACTGGGCCCCTAGTATGAATAATAAAATGGCAACAAATACATATCTATCAACAGTTGAATCTAAAAATCAAAATAAACCAACAAGAAATCTAATGAACAAAATAAACTGGTGAATAAAATAGAATCAGAGGCATGGAAGCCTGGAACAGATTGATGAGTCTCAGAAGGAGGTGGGGAGGATAGATTAACCAAAGATTTTACCTATGGACACAGACAGTAGGTGGTGAAGGCCTGGGACAGGGTGGAAACTTGGTGGAGGAGAGCAATGTGGAGCGAGGGGGGAAGGGGGGACACGACATCTCTAATACTCTCAACAATAAAGATTTTTAAAAAGAGAGATATATATAAAATTGAGCCTTTAAAAAATACTAGTCTAAAAAAATGCAATGAAAGAACAGGGGGATATGAAAGAGTTGGAACAAATAGAAAACAAATGGTGAGATTACATACTCAAATCTAAGCACACCAATAATCACATTAAATGTAAATGGTCTAATTAACCCAATTAAGAGGCAGAGATTTTTTTAATTGGCTTTTTTTTAATATATTTTATTGATTCTACACAGAGAGGAATTGAGAGGGACAGAGAGCCAGAAACGTCGATGAGAGAGAAACAGCGACCAGCTGCCTCCTACACACCCCCCACCGGGGATGTGCCCGAAACCAAGGTATTATACATGCCCTTGACCAGAATCTAACCCGGGACTCTTCAGTCCGCAGGCCAACGCTCTATCTACTGAGCCAAGCCGGTCCCGGCTTTAATTGGCTTTTTAAAAGACCCAACTATGCCCTGCCCACAAGAAGTGCACTATAAATATAAAGATAAAAATATTAAGGTGGTGACAGAGTACTTGAAAGATACCAAAGAAGAATTAAAACTAAGATATAGAGTAACCAACTGACATCTAGCTGAACAGAAATCTTATAACCAAAGATTTATAGAATAAGCCACATCAAGATTGGTAGGAAGAAAGGAGATGTGAGAAGGGTCGGCCCCACTCTCACAGGCAGAAGATGAAAATACAGAGGGATGTCTCAGCTACAAAGTTTCCTCCTGAGGATCACTGGGTCTCAACCCCATGCAAGGCTTCTAAGCCCAGAGCACCAGAGCAGGAAAAGGCATCCATAAGGCATCTGGAGAGAGTAGTCTTGGATTCAGTCTCTTGCTTTTCATTACTTTGTATACCTCATGCCATTCTCTTCTGGCCTGGAGTGTTTCTATTGAGGAATTAGTTGGCAGTCTAATGGGAGCTCCCTTGTAGGTAACTTTCTGTCTCTCTACTGCTAACTTTAAGATTCATTCTTTGTCTTTATCATTTGCCATTTTATTTTTTTTAATAAGTTTTTATTGTTCATATTATTACAAATGTTCCTTCCCACCACCACCACCACCATTGCTCTCCTCCACCAGGTTCCCACCCCACCCTCTGCCCTTTCCCCACTCCCCATTGTCCTCATCCATAGGTGCACAGTTTATGTTCAGTCTCTTCCCACATCCCCCTCTCCCCTTTTCCCCAAGAATCGTCAGTTCACTTCCCTTCCATACCTCTGATTTTATTATATTCAACAGTTAATATTGTTCATCAGATTTTTTTAATTTCCTTGGTTTTTAGATTCACTTGTTGATAGTTATGTATTTGTTGTTCATAATTTTTATCTTTATTTACTTTCTCTTCTGAAAGAACCCCCTTCAGCAATTCATATAATTCTGGTTTGGTGTTGATGAACTCCTTCAGCTTTTTTTTTTTTTAGTGAAGCTCTTTATCTAGCCTTCGATTCTGAGTGATAGCTTTGCTGGATAGATTATCTTTGGCTGTAGGTTCTTACTATTCATCACCTTGAATATTTCTTGGCATTCCCATCTGGTCTGCATGGTTTCTGTTGAGAAGTCAGCTGACAATCGTATAGGTGCTCCTTTATAGGTAACTACCTGCTTTGCTCTTGCTGCTTTTAATATTCTCTCTTTGTCTTTTGCTCTTGGAATTTGATGTGTCTTGGTGTGGTCCTCTTTGGATTCCTTTTGTTTGGAGTTCTGTGCGCTTCCTGGACTTGTAAGTCTAATTCTTTCACCAGGTGGGGGAAGTTTTCTGTCACTATTTCTTTCAGTATGTTTTTGATATCTTGCTCTCTCTCATCTTCTGGGACCCCCATAATTCTGAGGTTGGTTCGCTTGAAGTTGTCCCAGAGGTTTCTTACATTATCTTCAATTTTCTGGATTCTCTTGCCTTCTAGCTTCTGTGGAGGAGTGTCTTCTGGTTCTTTATGTTCCAAATCTTTGACTTGATTCTTGCGATCTTCCATTCTGTTTTTAGGACTCTGTAAAATATTTTTTATTTCAGACAATGTATTCTTTATTTCTTGTTGATCCCTTATCATTTCTTGTTGATTCCTTATTAATTCTAGTTGATCTCTTTTCATATCCTCATAGGTCTTATCCATCTTTTCTAGGAAATTCTTGAAAAAACCTTATAAGCGTAGATTTGAATTCTATATCCAGACACTTTTTGTCCTCCATTTCTTTCGTTTGTGATCTATTTCGTTGTCACATTTTGCAGTTACAGATGGGACGGTATTTCAGGGTGGAACCTACAGCTTTGCCTTCTGTCAGCCCCGCCCTCTGCAGCTCCTGCGTCTCAGGGTCCTTCAGTTCTCGCTGCAAAGCACTTCTGAGATATAGGTGCCCTTGATTTTTGCCTGCTGCCAAACAGTCTATGCTCTCCCCCAATGAGCCCGGTATTGGGGTTCAGTTCAGTTGGAGGTGGCGTTCAGAGCAGACTGGGGCCCCAGTCTCCTTCCGGCCAGGGCAATCCCACGGCACAACCAATCGTCCCTTCTCTGTGCACAATGTGCGCGCTTCTGGGACCTCCTTTCGCTGCTCCCCCAGGGTTCCGCCTTATAGCCCAGCTCCCTATGGATGAGCCTGGGTCCCCGGGGTCTGGCCTGGAACTGGGGTTCAGAGAAGTCAGAACTGGGGCCCAACACAGTCGGAGTTTTATCTCCTTCCCTCTAGGGAATGCCAGCCAGGCACTCGGCCTCCTTCCTCTCCGGCTCCGTCCACTCCGAGAGTCGTGTGTCTCCGTACCTTGGGCTTTTACAGCTCCTCTGTGCTTCCTTCTGGTTTTCTCCTTGCTTCTCGTTGTAGAATTTCCAGTCAGTTGACTTTCCTATAGTTCTGGGTAATGTCCATTTTATATTTTAGTAGTATTTTATTGAAATTGTTGTGTGCGGCTGCAGCTAGGTGTTTACCTGGGCACAGCCATCTTGGATCCTCTCTCATTTGCCATTTTAATTATGATGTGTCTTATTGTGGATGTTTTTGGGTTTATCTTGATTGGGACTCTCTTTGTTTCCTGGACTTATGTGACTTTTTTTTTCACCAGGTCAGGGAAGTTTTCTGTCATTATTTATTCAAACAGGTTTTTATTCCTTGCTCAGATTCTTCTCCTTATGGCAACCCTAATTGTGAATGTTGTTACGTTTCCTGTTGTCCCAAACCTCCCTTAAATGCTCCTCCTGTTTTTTAATTTTTTTTTCCAATTGTAGCTCTGATTGTGTGTGTGTTAAAGCTTGTCTTCTAATTCACTGATTTGGTCTTGACTTCTTCTAGTCTACTGTTGATTCCTTCTATGGTATTTGTTATTTCAGCTATGTCATTCTTCATTTCTGATTCATTCTTATTCATGGTTTATACCTCTTATTTCATGCTGGTGTATTTCTCATTAAGTTTCTATAATTCTCATTAAGTTCCATAACGGTCTCAATTACATTTCTTGTAGTTCTCACTAAGTTGTTTGAGCACCTTTATAACCATTACTCTGAATTATTTACCTGACAATTTGCTTGCCTTTATTTCATTTAGTTCCTTTTCTGAAAATTCCTTCTTTTCTTTCATTTTGGGGTTGTTTTTTGTCTATATCTATATAATTTTATTAACCAATGTCACCTCTGTAAATTTAGTAAAACTTTTTGAAAAATATATTAAAAGGGAAAAGACAGACCATATGTTAACATTAATCAAAAGATAGCTGGAGTGGCTGTATTACTATACAAACTAGATTTACATATACATCAACTACATCTGGTTATAAAACATATAGCATAGAAAAAAACCTTAGTACAAGTAGAAAAAATATTTAAACTTTCACTGCTTGCAAAAATATGCACGTCTTAAGTCATTTCAGATTACTTTTAAGATAATTTTTATAAGAATGATGAGTTTTTATAAGAATTCTTTTATAAGAATGATGTGTGGGAGCTCTTTAAATAAATTTTCTTTCTACCATGACTTTAAAAAACAATAAAATAAAACACAGAGCATAAAGGTAGACAATTTAACATATACATTTTTTCTAAAATCCCTCTTAAAATCTTTATGCAAAAGCAGTAAACATGTTTCAATGTCATAGACCCATGAAGACAAAGAGAATAATAGAGATGAAAAAAAAACAAAACTATTTTGGCAGCTGAAAATATATACTTAGTAATAAGTAACTTATTAAATCTTAAAATAAAATGATGTAAGCCACAATGGGATTTACATCATGAAATTCCCACAAAACGTAAGACCCAAAGCACCAGAGAAGATGGTAGAGAAGGTGATGATGAGCTAAAAAAAGGACTGATTGAAAGTCTGTTTAAGTGGAGGTTAATCCTCCTCCCCACATCAGATCTCTTATTTTGCTCAAAAAATGTAGATGCTCTTCCCACACCCAGTAGGAGTCAAAATGCTTATGCTCTAGAGCAGTGTTTTTCAACCTTTTGGGCAAAGGCACACTTGTTTCATGAAAAAAATCACGAGGCACACCACCATTAGAAAATGTTAAAAAATTTTAACTCTGTGCCTATATTGACTATATATAAAGTAATTCTCTTGAATAGGAATCAAATAAACACAAAGAAAGTATTTTATAATTACTTTATTATGAAATATTAAGTAAACAAAATAGTGAAAAATTATAAAATTCTTGTCTTGTCTGCACCTACAGCACACCAGGCAACATCTCGCGGCACACTAGTGTGCCGCGGAACAGCGGTTGAAAAACGCTGCTCTAGAGAGGATATCATGAAGATATGTGGGCCAGGAGACAGTACTGGTGGGTTAAAGGTGAAAGTAACATCCTGGGGAGTGGGGGAAGTAATAGTTTTTATATTTAATGTTGAGAAACTCTTTCTACCCAGGATTCTTTGACTTCTTTTCTCTTTCTGGTAGTCGAGTTTTCTGACCCCATGAGGAGTTTTTTTGTTTTGTTTTTTGTTTTTGTTTTTTTTGTTTGTTTGTTTGTGTGTGTGTTTTTTATTGATTTTTACAGAGAGGAAGGGAGAGAGATAGAAAGCCAGAAACGTCAATAAGAGAGAAACATTGACCAGCTACCTCCTGCACATCCCCCACCAGGGATGTGCCCGCAGCCAACGTACATGCCCTTGACCGGAATCAAACCCGGGACCTTTCAGTCCGCAGACTGACGCTCTACCACTGAGCCAAACCGGTTTTGGCCCATGAGGAGTTTATATAGCCTTCTCTAGACAATCTGGACAAACTAGACAAGCCAAAAAAAAAAAAGCACCATCAAAATTAACCAACCAGGTCACTCTTGCAATGAAGCCAGGTTGTTCATAAACTTGTGTGTGTCCTATTCTTATTTATATGCCCACAAGAAAGGTTGAGAATAATAACCAATATATAGTTAGCATTTTTATGTGCCAGGAACTTTGCGGTAGTTGGTATGAAAATTTACAGGTAAGGAAAGAGAGATACAGAAAGGGCAAGAAAGCTGTCTAAGTCCCCATCATGAAATGTGGCAGTTCATAAACCACACTCCTCTCATTAATTGCCATATATTATTCTATTTTTTAATAAATATTTTTCAACTCTGCACTGTCCCTTTTCAACTGAATAGCCTGGTGATCAAACCCTCACAATCATGTGCCAACAGCAATCAAGGCTCTACAACAACATGAGGCCATGCACTACTCACACATTGAATGAACCTGAAGTACCCAGTTAAGGTGACCAGGAAAACTGCACCACTGAGCCCCACAGCACACCTACCACATAAGGCCACACTATGAAGACCAGGAGATTTCCAAGACTGGGAGATGTAGCAAATCTACCAATACGAGAGAGAGAGAGAGAGAGAGAGAGAGAGAGAGAGAGAGAGAGAGAGAGAGAGAGAGAGAGAGAAGAGAAGAGAAGGAGAAGGAGAAGGAGAAGGAGAAGGAGAAGGAGAAGGAGAAGGAGAAGGAGAAGGAGAAGGAGAAGGAGAAGGAGAAGGAGAAGGAGAAGGAGAAGGAGAAGGAGAAGGAGAAGGAGAAGGAGAAGGAGAAGGAGAAGGAGAAGGAGAAGGAGAAGGAGAAGGAGAAGGAGAAGGAGAAGGAGAAGGAGAAGGAGAAGGAGAAGGAGAAGAAGGAGAAGGAGAAGGAGAAGGAGAGGAGAGGAAGGGAGGGAGAGAGAGAGGGATGGAGGAGGGTATCCAAAATGAGAAGACAAATAAACATATCCCAAAAGAAAACAAAATACTCAGAAAATAACTAATCAAAATAGGGGCAAACAATCTGTCAGATGAAAAAGTCAAAACATTAATTATAAGTTGCTTTATTATCTCAGTGAGAACTTCAACAAAAATACAGAAAACAAAAAAGAGATAGAAAACATTTTTAAAAGTCAGAAATGAAGAATACAATAACTGAAATAAAGAATATATTACAGCCCTAGCCAGTTTGGCTCACTGGATAAAGCATTGGCCTGAGGACTAAAGGGTGCCAGGTTTGTTTCTGGTCAAGGGCATGTACCTTGGTTGCAGGCACATCCCCTATAGGGGGTGTGTAGGAGGCAGGTGATCGATGCTTCTCTCTCACTGATGTTTCTAACTCTCTACCCCTCTTCCTTCCTCTATGTAAAAAATCAAAAATATTTTTTAAAAAGAATTCATTACAGGGACTCAACAGTAGGTTAGATAAAGCAGAGGATCAAATTGGAACTTTGGGAGATAAGATTACCAAAAAAAAACACACATACAATAACAACAATTAAAACCAAAAAATAAAATAAAACAGAATCCAAAAAAATGAGAATAGTTTTAACAAGCCTCAGGGACAACATCAAGCATAGCAACATCTTCATTATAAGTAAAACACAAGGAGAAGAGAGAGAGCAAGGAAATGAAAACCTATTTGAAGAAATAATGATGGAAAACTTTCCTAACCTGAAGAAGAAAATAGTCTTACAAATCCAAGAAGCACAGAGAGTCCCAAACAAGATGAATCCAAAGAGGCTCACATTAGGACATGTCATAATTAAAATACCAAAGATAAAATAAAAAGAGATATTCTTAAAAGCAGTAAGACAAAAGCAGTTAGATATCCAAAAGGGAACTCTCCATAAGACTGTGAGCTGATTTCTCTACAAAAACTTTGCAGACCATAAGAGAGTGACATAAAATATTCACACAGCAAAAAAAGACAACCAAAATTACTCTACCCAGCAGAGTAAAGATTTATAATTAAAAGGCAGATAAAGATACAAGAAAAAAGCTAAAGGAATTCATCACCACCAAACCAATATTACAAGAAATATCAAAGGGACTTCTTGAAGGGTAAGGGAAAAAGTTTAAATATGAATAAGAAAATGGCAGTAACTATATATCTATTAACAACTACTTTAAATGTAAATGGATAAATACTACAATCAAAAGACATAGGGTGTGCCAAAACCGATTTGGCTCATTGGATAGAGTGTTATCTGCAGACTGAAGGGTCCCAGGTTTGATTCCGGTTAAGGCCATGTACATTGGTTGTGAGCACATCCCTGGTGGGGGTGGGAGGGTTGCAGGAGGCAGCTGGTCGATGTTTCTCTTTCATCGATGTTTCTAGCTTTCTATTCCTCTCCCTTCCTCTCTGTAAAAAAATCAATAAAATATTTTTTTAAAGACATAAGGTGGCTGAAAAATAACAAAACAAGACTTTTACATATGCTACCTACAAAAGACCCACTTCAGATCAAAAGACACACACAAACTGTGAGAAGGAAAATATTTCTAAAAAATGGAACCCCCCCCAAAAAAAAAAAAAAAATACTTGGGTAGCAATACTTACACCAGATTAAAAAAAAAAAAAACTTTATTTTTTATTGAATTGCAGTGACATTGAAACCAGAAAGGTTTATCCAACCTTTGCCCAATTTCAACATCCTGTTTCCCTCTTGCTATCAACATGTTATTGTCCATTTATTTCTTCTGTTTAATCCTTTCACCTTTTTTTCATCAAGCTTCCCCCTCCCCAGGTTTTCTGTATCTATATCTTTTTCTATTTGTTTGTTTGTTTTGTTCATTAGGTTCCATATAAGTGAAATAATATGGTATTTGTCTATTCCTGAAAGGCTCATTTCACATGGCATAAGGCATTCCAGGTTCACCATGCTGTCACAAAAGGTAAGATTTTATACTTTTTGCAGGAAAATGGTATCCATTGTGTAAATGTATCCCTACTTTGATTGTGTTACTATCTATCTCTCCCTTTATGTCCATCAGGGAGTTCTTTATATATTTAGATGCTCCTGTGTTGGGTGCATAAATGTTTATAAAGGTTCTATCCTCTTGATGGATTTCTCTCTTTATTATTATGTAGTGTCCTTCATCTCCTTCTATAGCCTTTATTTTTATCTATTTTGTCTGATACAAGTATTGCTACCTCAACTTTCCTTGTTTGTTTCCATTTCCACTAATTTTTTTCCCATTTCTTCACGTTCAGTCTGTGTGCATCTTTTGTTGTTGTTATTGTTAATCTCCACTTGAGGATATTTTGTCACTGATTTTTTCACTGAAAGGGGAGGGGAGAGACAGAGGGATAGAAACATCAATGTGAGAGAGAGACATTGATTGGTTGCCTCCCACACGCGCTCCAACCAGGGCCAGGGATAAAACCTGGAACCAAGGTATGTGGCCTTGACTGGAATTGAACCCAGGACCCTTCAGTCAATGAGCCAATGCTCTATCCATTGAGCAAAACCAGATAGGGCCTGTGTGCATCTTTTGTTATAAAGTGTATCTCTTGTAAACAGCATATATATGAGTCATGTTTTATTATCTATTCAGCTACCCTATGTCTTTTGATTGTAGCATTTAATCCATTTACACTTAAATGGATTATTTATAGCTACTTGTTTATTGCAATTTTATTCTTTATAACTATGTTTTTCTCTCCCTTTTTTTGTATTCTTT